CTTGACAAGTCCAGACTGCCTCAGCTTTGGTCCGGACATTAAGTATTGTTCTGAACTCCATTTGATTTGATTATATAATTTTAGATAAACATTTCTAAATAAGATAACATTGTTTAAGGGACTAAATGTTAATCCACTGTCAAAGGCAGAATTCCCGAAAAAAATGCCTACAATGAGATGAACTGAAGTGAACTGAGATGAACTAGTGACAAGAACTGAAGTCAAAATCAGAGATTCCTTACAACTTTTCACTTGCCCTTGATATCCTAAGGTCAAATACCAGACGTGTTCAAATCTTACACAACTAGTCTTAATTTGTGTATTTCAACTTCCAAAGATATAACGGCACAGAGAAACTGGCATACTAACAACATGGTTCTCCAAATGTCCATAAAGTAAGCAGACCTACAAATATCACCTGCATGCTATAAAAACAAATTCATAAATACAAAAGAATCATCAATGTCCCACTCTTAACATGACCACAAGAAAACAGCATAAACGTCTCAGGTTAATATTTTATCAAGACATCTTGAAGTTGTCATCAAGTTGTGTATGACCAGTGTTTTTCATATGCCTTTTCAATCCAGATATATATGAGTATGTCTGGCCACAGATGCAAGCAAACTTCAGTCCTCTATGCTGGGAGCGAATGTGTTCTTCCTTCTTCTGTCGAGAAGCAAACATGTTACCACATTCTTCACACTGGGCAGTTTTCTTTTTTTCTGGATTTTTAAAATTAATAAATTCATTGCATCTCTTGGCATGTTCAAGAAGACTGTTCTTAAAATGAAACTGTTTGTGACATCCTGGGCAGAAATGTGGTCTCTGATTTCTATGAATGTCCATAAGGTGTTCCTGCAATTCAGTATCATTGCTAAAGAGAATTCCACAATCCTCAAACAAGCACCTGTTCCCACTGTCCATGTGGGCTACCATGTGTTTGTTCATGTCATGTCTACCCAACACAATCCCACAAATATGGCAGTCAATTTGAGAATCAGCGCCGCCCACTTCTTGCTCTCCTTGGTAAAGGGAGGTAACTAGTTGCCTGGGAAACATCTCACTTCCTGACGTCCCAATTCTGAGGTTTCCTGTGCAGAGGAAAAGGTCACTATAAAGTTCTGTTTTCAGTTGTCTTTTCAACTTTTTTTCCACCACAATAAGCAAATACCGCGGTGATCTATAATATTCTCTACAGGAGTAACTGTTTCCATCATGATCCTTGTCCTGTACATTCAGGACTCCATAACAAGACTCTTCACTCCAAGTCGCCAAGGACAACCAATCACAATGCAACAGGACAAAAAAACTTCCCTCAAGAGCACTTTACATTTTGTTAAACAAGAATGAGTTCGATGCAAATACTGAACCATGCCTCTGAGACCCTGTCCGTTATACCAGACGGCCAGCATGGCAACACCACAAATTGTGTTGTCTTCTAGACAGTTCAAAACCAATCATGAGTATTCCACAGATGTCACTACCAGTCAAAATCACACGACAGTCAATTCAAATAATTCATCACAAGTCATCAGACAGCAGCATCAAGGTGGTAAGGTCAAATTCAGGTATAAATATAAACATGATATACTTCATCACGTTCACCACTGGTTATCTCCCTTTATCAACATAATGTCATACACATTAGTTAACCCCATAATATTTTCCATTTCCACCATATATATATATAGTCGCACATCAAGACAAGTTAGAGGAAAGTATCGTAGATTCGTACAACCAAGAAACAGAGCTCTCAATGAAATGCACTGTGTACAATATGTCACACTGTCATGAGTGAGACAAGAGATCTGTATCAATTCGGCATGACGGCAATATTCAGCATATTATGGGATAGCACGAAGTAAATGTCAAGCAAAGTTGGGAAGATTGCAAATAACTAACATTACATCATCAGTGAAGTATGGTTTGGCAAAAACACCAGTATTAATATGTTGGTGTACTTTGGGACCCTCATTTGCAAATAATGAATGTTAGCTTCTTGCAAAACCATATTTAACTGTGATGACGAATATGACATACATTCAAATACAGTATTCAACATTCATAATATTTATGAAAACATCTTAGTGTTTTTGTCAGGTCTTGGAAAATACGTGCAAAATAAGTTTCAGATTGAAGCAAGACCCCCAAATTGTCATGAGAAAGAATCAACTGATTTTTTTGCATTTCAGAAGTACAAAATATATTTAAACGTTTATCAAAATAGACAAATATCACCAAAGAGTGCAGAAAACCTGGGAACAAGTGCACCATATTTGGCATAATAAACCTACTATAGTGATGCACAGATTAATTTGTTACTTCAGTTGTAACTAAGCATCATTTCTTGTCTGACGAGTGTAGAATCCCACAGTTCACCTAGTGTGTTGCATGTTGAATGATGTCTACATGAGAATATTGTGCAAAATATGGCATGCCTGTCACCATGGTACGGAGCTTATTTTGCAGTATTTTACCAATGTTTTGACCTGGTCTATCATCGATGAGCTTTAAGACGGCTTACCCCAGGCCACAGTTGAGTCAGGAAGCCAGTGTGTGGACTTACCTTGTGATGCCAGGAACCACGCCCCCATCATCGCTGTACTGTGGCACTGGGTGTGTCAACATGGCAAGTGACAAGATGGATTATGAAGTTTTAGTGTACTTATGAGTTGTTTTGTAACTTAAAATCTTATAAACAGGACCAGAACTTCCAGACAAAACAATATTTGGCTCATAATCAATCTTGTCAGTCACATTATGTGCAAAAATCACATATAAATAATCAGCAAACTACCATACAATTTCAAAAAATACTTCAAATTTAAAAGATGAAAGGCAGCAATATGCAACAATACAAAATCATAACAAAACAAAAACATTTATGATGTTTCTGCATCAAAACGTAATTTCAGGAAACTGGTTACAGGTGTGCTTTAAACATTTTTTTTCTGAAGCACCTTCCAGATATTGACTATTATCATTTTCATCTGCATTGCTTGCTGCATTTCATAATATGCATCAACAATTAAAACTTCCAAATGAAATTGACACATCCTGATTTCTTGTCAGCTACTCCTTATAAAATACAACAAAAAAAAGTTTATTTTTAAAAATTCTTTGAATACAAGCTTTTTTCTTTCATGTTATCTGAACAGGAGGAATGTTGTATCATTTCATGTGAAGTTCCAACTGCTAAGCTTTCAGGCCAGAACTGTTATTCATGTGTTCACCCACAACTACAGGACATATTGAGGGTCATTTATCGCCAGGAAGAATTTGTTGAGTATTTCTGGCATGAAAACTGAAATGATGCCAGTATTATATTACACACATTTTGTATCAGTACTGGAGCAATGACCATACAATGTTGAGAACTTGGCCCATTTATATCACCTCTTCAGATAAAGCAGGATGCAGCTTTTGAAAATCTAGATATACAATCCACCTCTAGCATTAAAATGCAACCGAGAATGTGATTGTTTAACTTAAATGTTAATTGGTCTCTAATTAAATGGACTTTATTCACATAAATATTGAATGTTCCACATGACCAATCACTATCAGCTGTATACTGATAAACCATTAAATTTCATCAAATGTATCAAATATGAATTAATTGAAAGAGCATTTGATAAAACTGATCATGATTTTTTTTAAATAGTCACAATAAGTTAATTGCTGCCAAAGAGCCACAACTCAGTGGTTAAAGGGGGATAACACACTTCAATTACTTTTCTTTGCTGCTCAATAGCTTGAGACAAGCTGTGTTGCATTAGCTTCTAAGCAACGATGGAAACTGTGAGTGTCTTTTTCGATATCTGTTATGTAATTTAAAGATAAGTGAACTGGTTGAAAACTTGTTGTGAGAAAAGGAACGTCCACAAATTATCAAATAATACAGACGTGATAGTGATGGCAAGGTCTGATAATGATTATAAAAGCTTCAAACAAGAACATGAGTTTTGTTTCTCAACGTATGTAACTGTTCAAGCACTGTACAAAATACAGATTAGCTGGTCAATTCCAACGTGAACTATAAAGTCCATGTAATCTTAAACTTCCAATCATTAAAGAAAACAATATCTGCAGACAAAAAAAAATCACCCACAGCATGAACTTTTAATTCTGTGAGAATAGAGTAAATTTGGACCAAAGTTTGGTTGCATTGGCTTCCATCTGACTGCCCATTCAAATTTTACATTCAAATAGAACTGTCACATCAAGAGTGTACAGAGAACATAACTACCACTGAAGATGAAGCGCTAAATGTTTCTTGAAAAGTGATAATGGAAGTCATAGCCAAAATAAGTTATTTAGAAAATATTAATTCCTCAAATTTGTGCAAAATTTTAAGTCACAACCCATATGTCCTAAATCATTTTCCAGCTCCTTTGAGGAAATGTTTCTTTCTTCTGTTGTTGAACTTTTTAGATCAAGAGGTATCTTGTTGAAACAAAACATTCGGTAAGTTTCCTATTGAGTTTTCATTAATTTCCAAGGAGACCTGCAATACAATTGTCCTATCATCCTGCAGTTTATGACAATGCCCAACTGCTACCCCAACATACATGTATATTTTTCATATTTTGTGCCTGCCCCTGGGTGTAGTTGAACAATACAATGTTAGCGCGCTAAGGAATCGTAACTCGCATACCTTAACACACACTTTACGACAGTCTTAGCAATGAGGCTCCTTTGTAAAACGGCATCCAATGATCCTTGAAATGTAATCGTGGCCTTTTCCTCACCCTTTTCAGCTGCACCAAAGCTTTTATCACATTAGAGTAATTAGGTTAATTAGTCCACGAGAGAAAAATTGTTCGCTTCACACAGGCAAACCAGTATCTAAAAGAATGTCTTAACTGAATACTGTAAACTAATGTTTTTGATTCCCCATACGACCTACCTAACTTGTTTTTTGTTTGCTTTCTTATATAGTTACCCTGGAATTGACCAACCACTCTGACAAAGAGATTGAAAGTATCGATAATTACCTTCATTGTCAAAATCTGCATCATTGTCGTTATCACAGTCGTTATCGTCTTGTTCTTGGAATACTAAAAAAGTCATCTGCACTTTGGTCACCATGATGAACTTGACTAGTACTGGGTTCGGCGTAATCTGGCACATGTGGAACGTTTTGATGGAAGGACGATGATGAAGAACCGGGTGATTGAGAATGTGATGATTGTGGATGAGAGAGTCGATCTAAAGCTGCTTGGGACGTTTGTGTATGAGGTACATCGGATGAATAATCTATTTGCATGTATGGCGTCTCTTTCTTTGGCACAATGTCGTCAGGTTCAGGGTCTGGTTCTATTTCTATTAAATCTGGATCTTCTGGTTCTTGTTTCACATTAACACGAGAGTCACTTGAAGGTCTAGAATGCGACTGTTCTGAGGTACGAGAATTATTCTGATGATGATACTGAACTGGTGTATTTCCCCTTGGGGATTCTGAATAAGTAGTTCTACTGCTCTTTGATGGAGGTGATTTCACTGGAGCAGAAAAGTCTCGTGATCTTTTGGCAGGAAACGACATAGAAACTGAATGTGTGGGTTCTTCATGATAGTAACTTTCCTGAGGCATTAGTGTGCGATCCACATCAAATATGGACAGTTTTAATGTTTTACACTCACTCTTAGATATCATACTTGCATCAGACGACACACCGTCCACTTTGAACGTCAATTTATTTGATCTTAACGCCACCTGAATGCTGGCGTCTTGCGTTGTACCATATGAGTTCACTGACGCTGGGAATTCAAGATTTGATCTTGGCCCCTTCTTCAAAGTGGAAAATAGGTCACACAGATCTATTGGAATAGTGAACTCCAGCGTTTCGATAAACATTGTTGCAGAATACACTTGTTGTCCTTTCCTCTAGAATATATAAAAGTCTCACTTCAAAAGTGTCAGCAGCGAACAGGTTTTCAGGTTTCAGAGCTCATACATTTAGCTATTTCTGGGCCTTTATGCAAATGAGACTCCACGCCATTTTCAACCGGTCTTCTTCCCTCTTTGTTTTAGCGGTAGGACACTGAAATAAAGAACAATATGGTTATTATAAGATGCTTGTCGGTTACAAAACGTTGTACCGCAAGAAAAACGAAGGCATTTTGAACCGTACTTACATTCTTAACGGTTGTAAACCTTGATACAGGTGCGCGCTAAATTTATTATTCACAACGCCATTGTTGTCGAGTGTGACATTGAAGCTCGGGGCTGCGCTTGCTGGAAATGACACGTGGATTGCCGTATTCCCGGGCGTCGGCACAGAGAGGCGTCGACGCGGTGAGGAGCCGAACCGGAATATTCCGGAACATTTTTCCATACTACTAACCTAACGACAGATTACAACTATACTCCACATTTATAGGCGCCTGCTGGTTCACAATTCGAGATTTCTCTTTTCTCACAGGAGTAAAATATCCCTGCTGCTTTTTACATTTTTCGGAGATGTTTGCACCTTATGTCAATTTGTCATGTTAATCTTGATAACAATAATATGAACATATGCGCTTTATTTGTGAGTCGCAATGCAGCGCGATAAAGATCAGAGGAAAATAACAGATCGGGAGAATGCTAGAAAATATGTGAGTGAACATTTACTCATGTAATGAAGTTTTGTTAGTCCGCTGTCTGTTTGAGGATGAATGTCAATATACAGGCACATTTAGTCTTGAAAAATGTTCACATGTAACAACTTGACATTCCATTGCCTGTGTTTGTGCCACCGATTGTGCAGAATAAGCTCATCTTTTCGCGAACACCTGGTTCATCACTACTTGACTGCGATTCATAAAGACAAACTAGTGAGTCGTAAACCAGATTCGGTGTTTAACTTTTTGATACGGTAATGGTTTTATCGCTTATATTATGCAGTTGGAGTGATGTAAGTTTAGTTTTACACCACTTTTAGCAATATTCCAGCAATATCACGACCGGGGACTTCAGAAATGGGCTTCACAAATAATTGTGCCTATATGGGGAATCGAACCCAGGTCTTCGGCGTGACGACCGAACGCTTTAACCACAAGGCTACCCCGCCGCCCTATGCAGTTGGAGGGTTTCACCGCTGACGGTCACTTCCTACTTAAGGTGTTCATTCCATAACAGCAGTATTGTTTGAACATCGAATTGAACTATTTCTCCCGACATTACAGTTAGTGTGGGGGCGGTGGGGTAGCCTAATGGTTAAAGCGTTTGCTCGTCACGCCGAAGACCCGGGTTCGAATCCCCACATGGGCACAATGTGTGAAGCCCATTTCTTGTGTCTCCCGCCGTGATGTTGCTGGAATATTGCTAAAAGCGGAGTAAAACCAAACTCAGTCAGTCAGTCAGTCAGTCAGACAGTTAGTGTGCAGAGCAAATTTCCACAAGGCTACCTTCGCGTTAAGTTGGTCCTAACTCCCACAGGCATAGTACGATAATTTCTGCAAAAAGATCAATTTGTGCGATTGATTTGTGGAATAATCCTTGCCATAAGCGGCAGCACCGAGAACGATGATGCAGTGAGGATGTCCAGCAAATTCAATGGTCAGTCTCTTGGAAAAGTTGCTTTTCAAATTAAGTATTTCAAATCCTCCAGATGCAACAACCTACCGGCCCATGCACGATAGCAATCCTCATCGTTATCTCAAAACCAGCCATGGTGCACCTGTGCCTATTTCTGCCGATGAGGGTCCACATCTGTGGAAGTGAAAGCAACGAGGCATTCTTCAGTTTAGTTGTGAAAAATCTCTCCAGAAAAAGTCCCTACAAAAAGCAATGCCTCTCTCTTTTCTGTGTCCAAATTAGTGATACAGAAGTTTGGTGCTCGTGAATGTAAGCTCGCGTCTTTCTGGATCTCCTGACAGGGCGAGTGATGGCACTTGTTCATGAACCGTCTCCGTCAAATACGACAGGACATTCTGTTTGATTTCATTTGAGACCGATGAATTGCTCACTAACACAAAATGTAATAAATGCAACAAAGCCAAATTTTTCACAGTCACATGAAATCGACAGACCAACTCTGATGATTCAGAGTTTCATAATTTTGGACACCCGAATAAAAACTTGTTTCAAAAACGATCAATATTTTGTTGTCACTTTATTGTTATTGTTGCTTTCTGGTAGAACAGCCAGGTGTGCGAGTTGCACGTGTGAAATTGAAATGTCACTACTTGTTGATTACCTGGCTGTTCTACCAGAAAGTGGTCGCCATCGTAAAAATAGCAAAGAGTGACAACAAAATAATGATAGTTTTTGAAACAACTTTTTCATTTGGGTGTTCAAAATTATGCGAAAAATCATCAGAGTTGGTCTGTCGATTTCATGTGACTGTCAACAGCATGAGTAACGATCTGGGCAGGGTGTGTCTGATGGTTAACGCCGTACCCAGCAATATTCCAGCTTATATGGGGGCGATCTGTAAATAATCGAGTCTGGACCAGACAGTCCAGTGATCAACAACATGAGCATCGATCTACGCAATTGGGATACGATGACATGTGTCAACCGAGTTGACGAGCCTGACCACCCGATCCCGTTAGTCGCCTCTTACGACAAGCATGGGTTGCTGAAGACTAATTCTAACCCGGATCTTCTCGGGTCCCTCGATAGTCAACGACCCAGAATCATATACATAGTATAGTCTTCCAGACCAAACACCCTAGAAAATATTACAGAAATCTAACTCAAGTCTTGATGGCCTCTGTTCTGTTTTGTTCTGGGCTCTATTTGGAATTAGTTATATACCTATATATATTGACAGACAGACAGACAGAGTTTATTTTGTAATGTCGGCCTAATGGCCCATAATACAGTTACATAATATAAGGTACAGATTGACAGTGGTCATTCTCATTAACTACATTGTAGCTTTATACCTGCAAGAGAGTATTTGGTGTATAAATAAAGCAGTAATGTATATAATACGTGGATGTTTAGAGCATAAAATACTATGGAGTGAGAGTGGGCCCTTATATACATTTCTAAGTTGGATGAGATATTTTTCGCGGAAGTGTTGGTACTGTTTACAAGAAAAGAAAATATGTTTTTTGTCTTCAATCTGTGGGGAATTTCAGAATGTACAGTAGAGCTCTTCAATAGGCACATCCATGATGACAAAAGATGTTGGCTTTAAAATCGATTTAAAACCTATATACATGTATATTGTAGATCTTGAATAAACTGTCTATATTTCTGGGGTCAAATGTGAGTTAACAGAAGAGATTGTATACAGGTAGACAGGAAGCAGGTGGACAATTTCTGCCTGTAGATCATTCTATGCACATAAGCGTTAAAATGTCTAACGTCACTGGTATGACGTCACTTGTATATCGTGTGCAGAAAGTGAATCAATTGGGATGTTTTTAGTCACGTGTTGTCTCAGGCTTTTAAGTCTTTGGGTATCCCTCGATGTTTACATTCAAATGTCCCAGGGGCGGTGGAGTAGCCTTGTGGTTAAAATCTTCGCTCGTCACGCCAAAGACCAGGGTTCGATTCCCCACATGGGTACACTGTGTGAAGCCCATTTCTGATGTCCTCCGCCGTGATGTTGCTGGAATATTGCTAAAAGTGGGGTAAAATCAAACTCACTTACTCACATGTCGCACAAATCAACCTCTATCAATTAGACTTATATGGTCTTTTCAGTTCCCATAACACTTTCTCCTTTAATTTTACATGCAAATATATGATGTAACTTGGACCCACTTATATAGTCGATTTCGGTATATCTATAATCGTCGGTCAGATGTATCACGCAAGAGGTTGAGCCCAGTAAATCTGCAAAATGTCTTGACCACTTAGTTGTATTAAAGTGGTAAGTTATTTGGCCAAATTATATCGCCCATAAGACCGAGGTTAGTTTTGTGTGTGTCGTCGTATCAGATATATATGTTTCATGATGATGATGATGATGATGATGATGATGATGATGATGATGATGATGAATGAATGAATGAAGAAATGTCCTCCTCCACCACCACCTTCTCCTCCTCATCATCATCATGGTCGCACCATCAACAACATCATAAGCATCGCCAGCAACATCATCATCACCACCATTCTCATTAAACTACTACTATTCAAAAACAATTGTACGGAATTACCATCCTCCACCCACTCATCATCATCAACATCATTTTATATTACGACTATTCAACAGAAATAATATAAGGAACTACCCTCCTCATCATCATCAGCAGCATCCTCATCGATATCACCACAATAAATATTTATTTATAATTATAACAAATCAATGATAATTAACTATCCCCAGCATGTGTCTGTGTGTGGAATATCTACACAAAGATCATTGGTCAAGTTAGGTTTTACGCGTAACCAGAAAATAAATCAAATATTATCTGCCCCTTGTTGTGTAGCTCCCTTGCTGCATCTACCACTGTGGCTGGCGCATTGTCGTGATGGAGATATAAAACTTGGATCAATCGAATTTCAAATGCCGAAATTACATGCTTCATGAAATAACCCACGTTTTTGTTGATTCCCTTCAACAAGAGTACCGATTTTTTCAAGAAAAACAAACAACCAAACAAACATATTTCTTTCTTGAGCGTTGTCCCAGTGCCAAATTGTACAAACCGTTGCAAACCCAGTTACCGTTATAATCGACTTTACATATTTTTGTTATCCCAATGTCTAGATTACAAAAATATATATATGTATACACTAAAATTGTGATTCCCGTTACGTCGTGTATGTTTTATTGATAGTAGTTGTTTGACCAATAGTATGATATTAATAACCGGAAGTATCGTAGAAGAAGCCGACATAGTTGAAAAGGAAGATAGCGAAGACTGAATTTTGATGAAAATACGCAACATACGCCAAGTAAATGAAGCGATAAATGGTGCAAAAGTCGCTTGATACAGTCTTGCAACATACTACGCATAATATCTTCAGAAATCCGTTCGATTTATTCGGGAGGACACGTGAGATAGCTGGTCGGCTTTCGAGGGAAACAATGCATGGTGATTTGAGCGCGCACCTGCCCATGCTGTGTCATCGATGGTGATTTCAAATCATTCGACTCTTCCCAAGACCGGTATTAAGAAAGCTGTATTGTGATATATTGTGTGTGTTGCTGTAGTAAACAGACTCAAACATGTTTATCGAAACATTAGAATTCACAATTCCAGTGGATTTGTGTGACCTATTTTCCACTTTGAAAAGGGGGCCAAGATCAAATCTTGAATTCCCGGCATCGGTGAACTCGTATGGTACAACGCAAGATGCCAACATTCAGGTAGCTCTAAGATCAAACAAATTGACGTTCAAAGTGGACGGTGTGTCGTCAAATTCAAGCATGATATCAAAGAGTGAATGTAAGACATTAAAATTGTCTGTTTTTGATGTGGACTGTTCCTTAGCCCCAGCAGAACAGAACATAATCATGTCTATGTCTGAAAATACACATTCTTCAATAAGTCACAAAAGATCATATGACTTTTCTGTGCCAGTGTCTTCTCCAGCTCCTAAGAGTAGAAGGATTTCAGAACCAGTGCAATCTCGCCACATTCCTCAACCAGAAAACACCTCACGTCCGTCCAACAACTCTCAATCAAAATCTGCAGTTGATCCACCAGTGAATGTGAAACAAGAACCAGAAGATCCAGATTTAATAGAAATAGAACCGGACTCAGAATTGAACGATATCGTGCCAAAGAAAGAGACTCCATACATGCAAATAGACTTCTCATCAGGTGTACCTCATACGCAAACGTCCCAAGCAGCTCTAGATCGACTCTCTCATCCACAATCATCGCATTCTCAATCACCCGCATCATCATCATCGTCCTTCCACCAAAATGTTCCACATGTGCCAGATTACTCCGAACCCAGTACTAGTCAAGTTCATCATGGTGACCAAAGTGCAGATGACTTTTTAGTATTTCAAGACGACAATGACTACGGCGACGATAACGATAATGAAGCAGATTACAGTAATGACGGTAATTATCAACTTCTGACCATTACCATTAAGAATTGCTGGTCATTCCTGATGCAGAGCTGTGTAAGTTTGGTGAATAGGCAAGACAGATTTGGCTGGATGGAGAAAGATTTGGCTCAGTGTAGGTGGGGGTCATGTTTCACTGGCATAAAATTTACTGACCTTGAATAGGCCTCAAAACATCACTTGAAACAGACATCAGTCCTATTGGTTTGCAAGGGCATAAGTAGTCATTGGTGATAAAATATTGCAAAGCCTGAAACATTTATTAATGTTTGCAATGGTAAAAAGGGCTCCTGTGCAAGAGCTTCCTTCTACCCCTTGGGAAACATTAAACGTACAGCAGACTGATAGTCTTGCAGGCTTGTGCACCTTTTCATCCCTACTAAGAGCACAATATTCTTATGAAAAAAATATTTCCCAATAGTTTATCTTGTCTAAGTAGATATTAACATCCTCAGTGACAAGTGTACTTTTCAGCTTGTATTGGGATTAAATATTGAAAAATATGTTTCCAAATGTGGTCAAGAAATGGACCTCAGTATCGTGCTGACATTGAGAGCCTCGGGGGAGCCAATAGGTTGAAAATTCTGGCTTTAGGTCATATATAACTGTTTGAAAGTTGGGACACACAGGGATTGGGATAGAGAACTAGCCATTTTCTGAATTGAGAATGAGCCACTGCCGTTGTATTAATAGTAAACTTCAAAATTTTAATAAGCCGTTTTTTATTCTAATGTGCAAAATGGCCCCTGCCATTCCCAATTCCTGGACACAGTGGTTATGTCTGAAGGAAACACTATAATTTTGTAGATAGAACAATGAGGTCAAAGGACAAAACAGTTTTGTTGAAGGAGACATAGAAATGAGCTACAATTTGGCATTTAGAAAGGTATCAGGGTTTGTGAGATTTGAAGCATCATAGGAATGACTGGCAATTCTAGATTTTGCTCAATGTTCGATTATTGTCATTGTCAAGAATACAAAATGGTTAGTTTTCTTCAAAAGTGATGTGAAAATGGACTGAATGGTGTCAAGAACTTTTCTTAAAATCTCTCCAATATGGCGGGTAAAAATTAACTAGCAGCACATGTTCGTGGTAAATAGCATGAACAACAATGCTCCACGTTACTCCCTATCTCCAGTTAGTTCTGTTCTATATATCGGTTGTACAGGGTTAATGCTCCACGTTACTCCCAATCACCAGTTAGTTCTGTTCTATATATCGGTTGTACAGGGTTAATGCTCCACGTTACTCCCAATCACCAGTTCTGTTCTATATATCGGTTGTACAGGGTTAATGCTCCACGTTACTCCCAATCACCAGTTAGTTCTGTTCTATATAGTTGTACAGGGTTCTGTTCTATATATCTATATATGGGTTGTACAGGGTTAATGCTCCATGTTACTCCCAATCACCAGTTCTGTTCTATATATCGGTTGTACAGGGTTAATGCTCCACGTTACTCCCAATCACCAGTTCTGTTCTATATATCGGTTGTACAGGGTTAATGCTCCATGTTACTCCCAATCACCAGTTCTGTTCTATATATCGGTTGTACAGGGTTAATGCTCCATGTTACTCCCAATCACCAGTTCTGTTCTATATATCGGTTGTACAGGGTTAATGCTCCACGTTACTCCCAATCACCAGTTAGTCCTGTTCTATATATCGGTTGTACAGGGTTAATGCTCCACGTTACTCCCAATCACCAGTTAGTTCTGTTCTTTATATCAGTTGTACAGGGTTAATGCTCCACGTTACTCCCAATCACCAGTTCTGTTCTATATATGGGTTGTACAGGGTTAATGCTCCACGTTACTCCCAATCACCAGTTAGTTCTGTTCTATATATCGGTAGTACAGGGTTAATGCTCCACGTTACTCCCAATCACCAGTTCTGTTCTATATATCAGTTGTACAGGGTTAATGCTCCACGTTACTCCCAATCACCAGTTCTGTTCTATATATGGGTTGTACAGGGTTAATGCTCCACGTTACTCCCAATCACCAGTTCTGTTCTATATATGGGTTGTACAGGGTTAATGCTCAGCGTTACTCCCAATCACCAGTTAGTTCTGTTCTATATATGGGTTGTACAGGGTTAATGCTCCACGTTACTCCCAATCACCAGTTCTGTTCTATATATGGGTTGTACAGGGTTAATGCTCCACGTTACTCCCAATCACCAGTTAGTTCTGTTCTTTATATCCGTTGTACAGGGTTAATGCTCCACGTTACTCCCAATCACCAGTTCTGTTCTATATATGGGTTGTACAGGGTTAATGCTCCATGTTACTCCCAATCACCAGTTCTGTTCTATATATCGGTTGTACAGGGTTAATGCTCCACGTTACTCCCAATCACCAGTTAGTTCTGATCTATATATCGGTTGTACAGGGTTAATGCTCCATGTTACTCCCAATCACCAGTTAATTATGTTCTATATATGGGTTGTACAGGGTTAATGCTCCACGTTACTCCCAATCACCAGTTAGTTCTGTTCTATATATCGGTTGTACAGGGTTAATGCTCCACGTTACTCCCAATCACCAGTTAGTTCTGTTCTATATATCGGTTGTACAGGGTTAATTGGACAAGTTCCTGCTAGTCACGCTGAAGACACAGGTTGATTCCCCACATGGGTACAATGTGTGAAGCCCATTTCTGGTGTCCCGAAGCATGATATTGCTGGTATATTGCTAAAAGTGGCGCAAAACCATACTACTCCTTTTACAGAATGTTACATTCTTGACAGCTCGTGACAATAATCAAGCACTGAAACAGAATCTTTGCATTGTTTGAATTCTTGTGGTCACAGGTAAATGCACATTACAGTGGAGATGATGTTTACATATTTGTCATTTGTGTGAATCCAGCAGTAGTAAACTGGACGTAAAGCAATATTTGGGACAAAGACTGATTCTCAGGTTCTGAGCTGAACTAAGCGCTGATAACGAAGAAGTGTTTCTTTTTCATTTTGTCCAGTCTGCGACAGAAGCTACAGCCTGAGCCTGAGACTGATTCTCTTAAAGTCTTCATATGAAATATTTGCTATGTTGGGAAGCCCCTTCAAAAAACAACCCTAAATTGAACAGTCATCTTTGTTGAAATGTGCTGACTCCGCCTGTTTTGTGTTGGTGTATCTGAAATAAATAAATGTATAATATGAGAACAACCAACACAATATCAGAAGTAAAGTTAATTTAATCAGTGTTTAGTTTCAAGTGACAATGTTGATGTATGGCTGTTCATTAGTTTGTGAAATGGGGGTGTTGCACTTTATTAGCACCATCAATTGATGAATATGTCCGAAACACTTTTTAGCTCTAGTGCTGTATTGACAGATATTACTGTCACTGCTGGAGTTGTTTTGACTGCCGATTAAATGTATAAAATGAAGTAGTATAAAAATAAAAACATAAACATAATTGTAGCGATTCCTGAAACTATAGCCCACAAAGACCGATCTTATCGTTTAAACATGTAACGGCTGTCATCAGCATTGTCACTTGCCATGTTGACACACCCAGTGCCACAGTACAGCGATGATGGGGGCGTGGTTCCTGGCATCACAAGGTAAGTCCACACACTGGCTTCCTGACTCAACTGTGGCCTGGGGTAGGACGTCCTCAAGAAAACATAGACCAGGTCAAAATATTGGTAAAATACTGCAAAATAAGATCTCAGCCACAGGTGTACCATATTTAACATAATCATGTCCTGATTCGATACTCTGTAATGGTGTGTTCTAAATGGTGTGATATATAAACATGTACAGGCCATGTTCAATAACACATACTTTAGCGGTTGTTATACACATCAAACAATGTTGCTGATAGTTGATTGGATGGCTTCTAGAAGACATTTTCAATGATTAATGTTGTTTTCCGTACATACATGTTGGTTTTAATAAGCTGAGTGACAGGGTGTCTGTCAACGTTCCCTACCAGGGTGTAATCAGAATTCTGTTCATTATGGTGTACTGTTCAGAACCCAGGATGAATGCCATCCTTTTTTACCAGAGAACATTTTGGTAGTTTATTTGCAGACTTATTTTGCATATTTTTCCATGACCTCAGACACACAGGTTTTCATTGTCTTTGGTAGAATATCGTGGTCTGTGTGAATATTTTAATTGCAGATGTTTTAAAATATGTCCATATTTTCCTTTGGAGATTGAAAGAAATTGGTGATATTTGATGGAGAAGCATAAAAATATTGACACAGCCATGACTATGTTGCATAACATTGGTGTGATTGCTTTAAGAATATACAAATTTGGCATGACATTTTCGAAACTTGATCTTGAAATATCTTGACATGTTTCTGATTGCGTTCTGAAATAGAACAAATATATGAAAATAACACTCCAATGTGTTTATTATTTTACTGATCATGTTGATTATGACGTGCCAGTTGGCCTCTGAAGTCGACAGATTGAATGAGGGGGGATGTTATACTTGATAAAGATACATTTTGTACACTCTGTGGTGACCCTATGTTGTGTATGCAACAACAGCTGATTGGATTTTCAATACATTCGCTTTAGATATTGTCACAGCTTAGCTTCTTTATGAAGTCTAAAGCAAGGATTCATCTTCACAAATTATTCATATATATTTTAGGTTGATGTGTTTGATGGTTGGTCAATACGTGGGTAAACTTTTCAACAAACATTTCTGAAGTTGTTTGTTGATTTTTTGTGCGGAATATTATCTCGAGAAACTTTGTTATCTTCAATTGTGATGTAGAAATATATCGGCACAGATAGTGCTTGAATGCTAACTACACCTTATGACAAGTGATAATCCTGAAATCTCTCAAACAGTTTTAAGCCTCGAGCTGATCAGCTGGACAGTATACCTCACTTTGGTCAGTTGCAGTAAGCATTGTAATACCTGGAATTACGATCTGATGTTCAATCAGCGCTCAGTGAAATATTAGTGAGAAAGAAACAAGCATTCTCTCCATGTGAATCCATATTATATTTAGAGGGTTAGTATAGACCTGTTCCTAGGCCGATACTCTGCTTTAAGTAAACAGCTAATGCCAATGGAAATTTAAGTTAAAATTGAAAAAATTCCCAAATTCGTATGAATGGTTCTATCAGATACTGTGGTTTTGAAGAGGTAGTTTCTATGTATTTTTCTGATAACATGACCTTTAAAAGAGAAAGAAGCTTTTATGCTTAGTTAACCTTTGTGCACTGAATGCAGTATTAAAATACCCCAGAATTTAGAAACAAAAAAGAATCCTAATTTTTAACCAAATACGAAAAAAATGCTTTCTCAAACGAATACTGTAATTGGGCAAGGTTCTTCCATTGCACATGTATTATGGTGAAGTGAAACTTGAACAACCGGTTCATTTTGAACGGAGTTTAGTACAATGTTTTATGTTGTGATTTGAACAGTTTATATTCCAAGGTTAATGGAATTGTGGTTAACTTTTTAGTATGATACCTTCATACCCCATTGAAGATGTATTACGAAAAGAAACACGCTAAAGGTATTTTTTACAGAACTGATGTTAGAGGAATATCAATTTTGTATGCTCTGTAATATCAGGATTGTATTCACCTGATAAAGGTGTGATATGAACAGGGTAATATCAGGATTGTATTCACCTGATAAAGGTGTGATATGAACAGGGTACACCTGTTACTGGTGTGGTATCAACATTACAGGTGTGACATAAAGATGGGTAGACACCTCTGTTTATAGGTGTAACATGAATGATGGAATCATCATTTCCACTAAAGCTGAAATGAAACAACATTAGCAAGGAACAAAAGATGAAAAGAGTGGCATTTTACATTCCTTCTTGGACACGGAATCCACCAAAACATCACACTCACAAAGTAAAAGAAGTTGTTGTCCAGAAATTTGTCAGTTATAAACGATGAAATTCTGTATTTAGTTATTGTTAACTGTACAATGGATTGTTTTAAGAATTATGTGAACAGTAAATTATTTTAGACACTCTGCCTGCAGCAGAACCAGTCGGTTAATCTGACATGTAGGTTAATTTAGTAATGGTTGCTTTTCTCTACAATCATTCCATAACGCTGATTTCAGTGGACCAGTGGTGTGAGCTGTGCTGTTTGATAACAAACACCAAAGTTTCCTTGTAATGTTGTTCTGTTGATAGATGCTGACAATGGTTTTCCCATTGTTCTTCAGTTGCTGGCCATAGTTTGGAAAACCACAACTTTCGATTGGCAAGATTATGTCGAATATGTGGGAAAAGTGCCGCCCATGGATCCACCAAATTGAAATACTGTCAGGAGCTAAGAGAGTTATTCCAGATTGATGTAGATACTGATAAAGATGACGTTCACCCACAGAAGATCTGTGTTCCTCATAGGCAGATGTTGTACCGTTACAAGTACGCCAAGTCCATCGGGAAGGGCTACAGCACGTCCACAGTCGCTCTAGAATTCTTCCCATATCATGAGGACGACACCTCTTGTTTTGTTTGTTTTCAATAGATCAAGCCATGTCAGAACTCAATACAGCTTAGGAATGCCGGGATCTGCCTGGGCCTGTATTGTGTTCAGGTCTACAACACAGGTTTTAGCTCGACTCTCAAACATGGGGGTCCCGGGAACCCCCAGTTACTAGTTTTAAGGGGTCCTATCAGGCACTGTGAGGCTCCTGTGACGTAATGGTGTAGAGAACTGTATGTTTTGACTATTTCCTTTGAGCCTGCAATGAATCATTGATCGTTTGGACTGGTGGATGACATGATAACTGCTCTGAAAGAAACAACCAAACACTTAGCAAAGTGATAGATGTGTTGTGGGTAAGATGAATAATATTAGTATGAAGTGATTTTTTTTTTCTGTGTCCAATCTCTACAATTGTGAGTACTGGATGCACATTTGCTCGTTGCTTAAAACCCTGCAACATAAGTTGAGAGAAACGGAAAAGGAAAATGTCCCTGTCTTGATAATCAAGATCACAGTAACGTTCATGATTGTCAGATGTTCATTGTATTTCATAGATAACAGGAGCAAGAAAAGGAATAATGTTGTCTTTGTTGTTCTTGACTTGCAGGGGCGGTGGGGTAGTCTAGTGATTAAAGCGTTGGCTAGTCACGCCGAAGACCCGGGTTCGAATCGCCACATGGGTACAATGAGTGAAGCTCATTTCTGGTGTCCCCGCCGTGATATTGCTGGAATATTGCTAAAAGCGGCGTAAAACCAAACTCAGTCAGTCAGTCTTGACTTGCATTATTCTAGTAGTAAATGGAATGCAAATGTTGTATTAAAGCTGACTCAGCACAATAACATGTAGGTACTCAAATTCTTATCCGCCCAAATTTTGTTTGACACAATCGATGTATTTGTGAATGGGGAAGGGTGTTCGCTAGATGGTGTTGATTTACTGAGTGTACGGGTATTGTCCTACAAACTCTGATTGTCGAGCTTGGTTAACGTCTTTGGGTTACCTGGATTTATCAGTTACAATTGCAGCGAGGGAAGTCAGTTTTGATGTCGAAGAGATTGTCATTGGATCCATGCACGGATGATGGTATCATGCTTGTGATCATTATCGGTTCTAGAGGCATATATTTTCTTGAATATTTTGCTTGCTTCATCGGTCATCACATGCATGCTTCATAAGCAGCAACTCATCAGAGGTATTTATTACTTGCAAGTGCTTGGAAGTAACAGCCTTTGTGCATCTCACAATGTTATTGTCATGATGATTGATCCAAATACAAGCAAGAACTTACTGACAGTGAACTTTTCATCTGCACAGAAAATCTCCAAAGTGGGCGTTCGGAACCAGAAGGGATTCGGATGGTTTTCTCCCAGCCGGATATGTCAGTTACCTCCCTTGTAGGACCTGCAGATGGGCGCTGTTCCGAATCCTAACACATGCTGTATTTGTAGAGAGGAGTTTAAATGTAACGAGGACTTGAACAAACACGTGATCACCCATATGGACATAGAAGAACATCCAAGATGCCTCTTCGAGGATTGTGGTGTAAGATTCGACAGCGATAAACTTCTCCAGGAGCATATAATGAACCTCCACCGCAACGACCGACCGCAGTTTTGTCCTGGGTGCTCGAAGCAGTTCCATTTCAAGACGAGTTTGATCGAACACGCTCGTACGTGTCAGAGTTTCATGAAGGTCAGGCTACCGGAAAAGAAGAAGAATGCCCAGTGTGACGAGTGTGGGAAGTTCTTTGCGTCAAGACAGTTGAAGGAGGAGCACGTGAACTCCCAGCACAGAGGCGTCATATTTGCCTGTAGCTGTGGCCAGACTTACGCCTACCGAACAGGCTTGGCTAGACATCGGAAATCCACTGGGCATTTGCCTCTTAGACCTAAATTACAGGTTCTTGAGTAAAATTGTCTTGGAGATTGTGAAGGAGGACTAAGGGTTGACTGATTTACCAATCGATTCATTAAGTAGAGCCAAGGAAGGTATTACCGTCAGGAAGATTGTTGTTCAGGTGTGGTTATTCACCTGGAAATAGTTAAGTGCCTCAGTTTTATTTATATTTTTCTATATCCTGAACTTCCAGTGTTTGATTTTGTCCCAGATGTGTACATGCTGAAGTAGTATGTGTCATTTGGGAGAATTGAGATGATGAAATGACAGTCGACCCATAAACCTTGGTAGCAAATCAGCTTTTCCAGAGTGGATCATTTCAGCCAAAATATTTCAGTCTACTGTTCACATGAACAGTGACATGGACTTTGTTGCGTATTTGGATAATAGTTCTTCCGTGAATTCTCATGACAAATATGGTTGTTGGGACCAGTGATATTCACTTTTTACATTACTGATGTTCCAGGTGTAGAACTGACTTCTCACTGGTGTATTTGTATGTCACTTAAGGAATGCATTTCTTAAGCTTTAATGTACATAAGGACCAATGTGTGTACTTTTAGTAGAGAATACTCTCAAATAAATAGCATATCTCATTCTGAAAAAAAATGGATTTGTATTTTTTTGGGTACATCCTCAAGTTGACATTAACAACTAATTTCCGTAATTTAAACATGGTCTGAGAGATGGGCTGCGTTATAGGTGCGTATACTGAGGCAAACATTGTACTGTCAAATACACTTCAGGACATGCAAAACACATCCTTGTTTTCCCCGCCCTGGTTGCTAAAAGCGGTGTAAAACCAAACTCAGTCAGTTGTTTCTGGTTGCAGCTGTTTCAGCACTTACTTACCTCTTTTGTCAATACAATTACCGTATTCTGTTGGAAGCTTTAGATTAACATGTGTTGTGTGAGCGTTTGTTTTCTGCATGAAGTTTAGCTGTTCGAAGTTCTTTGATTATATTTCTGTGTGGAAATAGCAATGTGGGATCTGGAATCTTGACGTCCTGTCACTAACGAGGGCAGTCTGTGACAGTTACATGAACTGCCTCAAGAAGTAGTTAACTCTGTAGCTTGCATTTGTGTGAAGATCTGTCAGTTGAAGGATTTTTCTGGTGATCTTTCAGATTGGGATCATGTGACTGAAGGCGGTAAAGGGGATAGAAGTAAATGTCCAAAGTCCTCTGCCCCTAAATCAGCAGTGGGTGGTGTCCATTGCCCTGGACATGGCAAGGCTTCTCATGCCTTGTCTCCTGCCCACTTGCCTGAACGGGATGGCAGCAGGAGATCTGAAGGCTCCCACACCAGACATGACTTATCTACCTCCCGTGATCATCAGAATAGACCTGAATCAGTTGAGAAAGAAACATGTGACTCTGCAAGCATATCCGACATGCTAGAGTCGCCACAGTCCAGTGTAGAAGATTATGACACAATTGAGGTGTTGAATATCAGCAAGGAGGGTAAAAGTAAGAAGGTGTTTGTTTATTCGAAGAGTGCTGCTAGCCGTTCTCCCGAGCGAGTTACATTTGATCTTGTTCCAACCTCAAAGCCTTATTCTGCATCAGAACACGCATACAACCGAAGGGACAAAAACACTGCTAGCCGTTCACCTGAGCAAGTTACATTTGAACCTGTTCCAACCTCAAAGCCTTATTCTGCATCAGAACACGCATATGCATGCAGCAAGAGGGACCGTGGTACCCATCAGAAACATCTAACCCTGACTAGCAGGAAGGATGACAAGCCACCAACAACCAAACTCGTTCAGGACAATCCTGTTCCGCCAAAGGTCCTCAGCATTATCGTCAATGGCGAGGTGATGTTTTCTTGTTCAGTCTGTGGGCACGTGTCCCCGAAGATATCTGAAATAGATCAACATATCATGGCTGCTCACAATAAGATCCCTGACCAACAACCGACGGGGTCTTCTTCATCTATTGAAAGCTGTTACAGATACAATAAACCACATGGTTGGTGGTGCTTGCTCTGCAGTCATATCGAACACGATCGCAGCAGCATGGTGAGGCATGTACAGTATGCCCACTTCGGGAAAACCAGTGATGCTCCTGTTCCTCAAGCAACACCAAGTTCCACTGCTTCAACCAAAGAATCTAGTTCTTCTTCGGAAAAAAGCCCAGTTGTCAAGCCCCCTTCGAAATCTTGCTCAAAGTCCAAAAGCGGAAAAGCAAAGACGGATCCAGAAAGTCCAAGTGATGATGCTATGAGGTTCAACTGTGTCACATGTGATTATCACACAAACAAAAAGAGCCATTTTGATAGACATACCATGAGTCTTATGCATATCAAGTTGTTGAGTGCACCAGCTAATAAGACCAAACCTCCTAAAAAGAAGTTGAATGAGAATACCGTCACACAGAAGTGTTACCGTTGTCCTAACTGCAAATATTCTTGTACTAGCGAGTCTAAGTTTAATGCCCATAAATTAGTCCATGTTGATAGTTCTCGGAAATGTATGATTTGCAAGAGAGCTTTCTACAGCAAGTTCCACCTCCAACAGCACAACAGTGCCAAGCACCCAGAGAAGAGAAAAGCCTCACTGGCAAAGAAAAAACCCCAAACAACTGGTAATGAAAAGCCCGCTTCATTAAACACAAAGGTTTCTTCCCCGAGCAAGTTGATCTGTGGCATTTGTGGTAAGACTTTCACCCAGAAACAGAATCTCGAGGTTCATGTGCTCACACACTTACCCAAGGTCCATCACTGTGAATTCTGTAATAAACGTTTTGCTTTCAGCCAGGCATTAATGAAACACAAAGAGGTTTGCACGGAGAAGGTCACTGTTGATGAACTTGAAATAGAAATTGACAATCCTGAAGAGAATTCAGAAATGGAGGATGAAGGAGAAAATGAAGATTTCAGACAGTGTGAAAAAACTGACGATTTTGAAAAGAATCTGGAAACTGAGAATGTTGAAGAGAAGCTGGAAGATGCTGGAGTTAAAATCGCCGGGCAGGACAGCCTGCCTGGATCTGATGATTTGTTGGACATTCAGGTTAAGGAGGAACCGAGTGATGTCCAGGAACCTTTGTGAACTAGGGGTGGTAGGGTAGTTTTGTGGTTAAAGCGTTAGCTCGCCATGCCATAGACACCAGGTTTGATTCCCTACATGGGTACTATGTATGAATTCCATTTCTGGTCTCCCCCCTTCGTGATACTGCTGGACTATCGCAAGAATTAACATAAAACCTCGTTCATGTACGCTGTGTCACCTGATCTTGTTAAAGTTTATCTTAGTTTTTATAGTCAGTCATCATGATGACTCCTAATTTGTCAGGGCACTTGGGTAGCCTAATAGTTAAAGCATCTGTTCGTCACGCTGAACACCCAGGTTCGATTCCCCACATGGGTACAATGTGTGAAGCCCATTTCTGGTGTCCCCCGCCGCGATATTGCTGGAATATTGCTAAAGGCGGCATAAAACCATAATCACTGACTCATTCACCAAATTTGTCAGTTCGTATGGAAAATTGAGGCAGCATTTTCTTGTCAGTATTTGATTTTATTGGTATGTCATGGTACATGAAAAGAAGACTCTCATTTAAGAAGTGGGGCGGTGGTGTAGCCTTGTGGTTAAAGCTTTCTTACCTCTCTGAAGACATGGTTCTCCGTAAGAGTACTAGTGGTGGTCCAATTAATTGAAATAATCGAAGATTGGTCGCAGTGACTAAACGACCAAGCGATCGAACATGTTTTCTCATAATCGAACACAACCAATTTTGGAACACTTGTTTGCATCAACAATATTTTACACAAGGTTGGTTTTGTCTGTGTCATTAAATTTACATTTCATAAGCACTACAAGCTTATTCCAAGTCATGATTGAATTTATCTTAAAGAATCCAGGAAATCTGTGTTCCTAACATACTAATCATCCTTTAAATATGCGAAATTTGCCAATGGATTTTTGTGCAATTTGAAAAACAAAACAAATTACTACATGTTTTTTCTTTATTTTTTGTGTGTGCATTAACAAAGATAACATGAACATTTGATAAATGACGCTAACCAATTATTTTCGAAGATTGATCGGTTGTAATGAACCAATCATCAATTATGAGATTTTAACCAATTCCCAACACTAAAGAGTACAGTGTGTGAATCACATTTCTGGTGTTCACCAACATGCTAAAAGTAGTGCAAGACCGTTTTCTCTTCAGACGTTAAGAAGTGTTCAAATCTTGTGCACCTAATTCATTCACTTGTTGCTTAACTTTTTTGTTTCTATCATAGGCATATTTTACCCTTTCATTCTCTTGTTGAGCCTCTTTGTACAAAACAATTGTAAAGACATGCTGCTTGATGCTACTTGTGTGTTGTCTTGGCCATGGTATGTTGCTGTTTAAGACAGTAATACCATATAATTTTGTTTGTAAATTGCATCAGTATGTGATTTTGTAAATAACATTCTGCTCTGGCTTGAGATACAGTATTGTATTCAGTGTTGAGTTGCCTGTATGGCAGTGTTTGTAAATGTTACTGGATAGTGCCCAGCTCCACTGTCTTGGATAAACATGAATAAGGCAGTTTATGAAATTTGGGTGTCATCCCAAAACCTACATGGCAAAACACCTGCAGCTTATAACATTATAACAAAGTTCACTGTTGAATGCACACCTAATCCCAGCCTGTTACCTTTATCATTTTAATGGAATGACCCCAAGAATATTTATACACATTTTATACAATTATTCCTCACCTTGATCATTATATTCAAAAGAATATACCAGTAGAAATATGCGACAGACTGGACCCAACTATGCCTGCTTGGTACCAGACCTTTTAATGGAATAGCCCCAAGAATATTTATGTACATTTTACTTACCAGTCAGTTGATAATTACAATAATCAAATTAGTTTAGAACTAATCAGTCAGATGATAATCCCAATAAGTCACTAGCCAAGTTTCAAAAGATGACCAACAGCATCCAAGGATTACATGGGAGTTTTTAATCCCTGTGCCAAATGTTCTTTTAAGCAACAAAAGGGATTTGCTTGACAGCGGTACAAGATTCTGTATCGAAACGTCACACTCACGAAAAAAAGAAGTTGTTATCCATAAAGTTTGTTCAATATTGTACTTCCCAACTTTTAATATGCCACTCAAACAAGTTAAAAGCGTTTCTCCACATCTTGGTTTTTCTTTTACTGTTATGGATTAAGTCTAGGACTGTTCCATTATAAGTAGGTGAAATCCCTTTGTTTGATTTAACTAAGTAAAGGGGCTGTAGGTGTTTTGGCATGAAGGCGTTTTGGGAGACAACCGAAATTTGGGGCCTCTGGAGTCCTACCGAGTCTTTTTAATAGGGTAATGACTACTGCTATTTCTGTCACAAGATAAATAATTCTTTTTCTTTAACAAATATCCTTGAAATAGTTATGCAGTTTATATTTGTAGTTGAATCTTTGTGGTGTTTAGACAAGTTATTTTTAATTGTATTTTTTTAACAAATAAAAATAAATATTTGAACTGTACTTCAGGTTTTCTTCTTGACTTGTGAAATGTGTGAATTGTTATGTCACACAGATGTTTAACGAGGGTTTAAGCTCTACTGATCGTCGAGGTTTAAACTTGTAAGCAGTGTCTTGTTCAAAATGAAGACCCTCTGTTATGGATCTCTGACAGATTGACCCACATGGGCACAATGGTGTGTTTGCTTATCATGGGTCCATTCCCCACATGGGTACAATGTGTGACGCCCATTTCTGGTGTCCCCCACCGTGATATTGCTGGAATATTGCTAAAAGCAGCGTAAAACCATACACTCACTCACTCACTAACAGATTGATATCCAAAATTAACGCGAGTGATATTTGAAAGACTTGAACAGCAAATTTGCATGAAGGTATGCAGTTTTGTAATGTCTGCTCAAAGGTTCACCTCATATTTAACCAATGGTGATTAAAATAAACTGTGGAAGGAAACATTGGAAAGTCCAAATTGACTTTTTATGCTTTTCAGATTTCCATGGTTTTGGCAGTTCAGAGTCAGTTCCCAGTTCATTGCAGGGGGTTTTCTTCCCAGCTGTCAGGGAGTCGTCAGCAGTATGCTGGACAATGGGCCAAGCCGAGCCCGAGCCCGAGCAAGAAGGCTTACCCATGCCCGAAGTGCCATAAGGTCTTCAGCAAGAGCTGTGGACTGTTCTATCACAGGAAGGCAATACATGAGAACATCATATACACATGTGTTTGTCAACGAACATACAAGTATAAGCCAAACCTTTTGACACATCAGAAGAAATGTTTTGTGCATCTTTCACAACCTCAGTAGGACATGACGCTGGTTATTTTATGGACGTTACAGTGTTTGTGTATCTTGTCTTCAGCCAGGTGCTGTTTCCTGGAATCTGAAATTACCGTTTTTGAAATAACTAGCTGGCGAACAATCTTGTCTTTCACATATTCAAGAGTTGTCTGATATAGTCCTGGATAAAAGGTTGTTGAAGTTTGGCAGTGCTGTTTGTGATATATTCACACAATCCTTTAAGAGAAACTTCCACATTTGCCATGCTGTTGACTAGGGGTGGGTATTGTAGAGAATTTTCATGTTAATATATATTGCATGTTTGATTAAGCTTTAATAAAAACTTTTAATCCTGACAAAATAAAAATAATATTTGGAACAAATGAAACAAGGCAATATCCGAAGATTTCCGAGTGTTACGAAGTTTTCCGAATGCATGTCAAAATACTGGTTTTCGATCAGCGTATCGCAATACCTATCATTTTCATGTCTGAACCGGTAAATACCGGTAAACCGGTTATATTGCGCAGCCCTACTGTTGACCAATTGTTCACCAGATCATGTTTATATGAATCTTTTCCCCACATGGGTACAATGTGTGAAGCGCATTTCTGGTCTTCCCCCCCCGCCGTGATATTGCTGCAGTATTGCTAAAAGCAGCGTAAAATTAAACTCGCTCCAGTTGTGATGATACCTGTGCAATGGGAACACTAGTTCGTCTATGAACTTGACACCAAAGGGAATGTTCTAACAACAATCTTCATGGTCCCAATGCACAAAGCTTTCGTAAGGTCATTGGCTTACGAATGATGTAATGCTATGAATGCTTTGTTGATAGGGTCGCTGAAGTATTAATAAAGCCATCGCAGTGTTGCTAAAACTTGTTATTGAAATAGTACTCTCGATGCACTTCATCACCTTGTGTCAATGTATTTTTGAATAGGCATGCGCTCTGCCATTTTGTTGCAACTGGTTTTCGTACATAGATTCAATGTCAATAATTGTTGAAACAGATTTCCTGCAAGAAATGTTCAGCAGTTTCTTCCAGACTGATTTTGAAATTCTCTGTCTCCAGTGTTCCATGAAATATATGAGAAAAGAAATCAATTTCTCAACTACAAAATGATTCTTTTCTCCGTTGCAGGATTTGGCAGTGTAAGAAGTTTTGGCAACTCTAATTATCAAGTGCGACCTATCGGGAAAATACCCGCAACATTTCACTCAGATATTCCAGAAATTATTTCAAACTTTCAAAACTCATGTGGTCAGGCTTTCAATAGAGATCATTTTACAGCAAACAAAAGATTATATCCATGCAGCAAATGTGACAAGGTCTTCAGGGATAGAGGAGGTTTATACAACCACACCAAGGCACTGCATGAAAACCTGGTGTTTGCCTGCAGCTGTGGGAAGGCCTATACCTACAGGACTAGTCTTGTCACGCACAGGAAGTCGTGTTCCATGTGCACAGCTCCGCAAAGCTGACAGTAGTCGGACATTACTCGGCATTGGATCTGCCTTCCCTGTCTGTTGGCTTGTATAATGTGAGCATGGCTTACAGTTTTGTGACAAATCAAGCTCAGCAGGGCAACGAGTTGTTAGAGACCGATTGTTATTGGATCTGTCAGTAAGACATTTCCAAGCAAGCTTGTATAATGGGACAGGTCAAGGACTTTCAGCCTCTTCTGGCATCCTTCTTCGTATCTGGATCAGTTGTGAAGATGTTCCGATATTGTCTGTGGTTTTGGCACTAGTTCCGCTATCTTTGTCTTCTAGCCTCATTGTGAGTTGTTATGTGTATGCTGATTATACGAAAATGTTGAAAGTTAGTGCGGCAACACTTGCAAAACTGTTGGCATTTGCAGGGGTGGAAATACTCCAGTACAGTGGCACATGTAATGTCACTTGCCCTGATAATTTTTCCACTATACCAACCGTTTTCTTGCTGATTTTTTAAATAAACAACATAATTAACATTGGAAAGTCAACTGGACACTGGTACAGTGTGATATACAAATTTGCTTGCCCGACAGAAAAAAACACTGGACTTGGACGTCGGGCAATGGGTTATTTCCACCCCTGATTTGTAGACCTTGTGTCCATTATGAACATTGAGCTTTTTAATTATTTCTTTTTATATCTTGATGAATATAATGATGAATATTAAGTGGGCTGTTGGCTGCCCAGAGGTTAAAGTGTTTGCTTGTAATGTTGAAGACCCCGTGGTCTATTCCCCACATCAGTACGATGTGCACAAGTCCGTTTCTGGTGTCTCTGAATATTTCTAAAAGTGAGGTAAAGACAAACTCATTTGGTTACAGTCTTGAAGGCATTGATATCATTTATGGGACATTATCATGATCGGTACTAGTCGAAAAAATGCCTGCACGTTCAAT